CATTCTAGGCAGCATTGGCACCACAACAATTTCACCTCCTGTAATTGACAGAAGCCATGCTTCGCAAACAGGTCTCAGCAAAGCCCAAGGGATGCACACTCCAGGCATACATCCCAATCGCAGGTGTCACATCTCCATGTGTGATCCTGCTCCTTGACACTCCCGCATAAGTCACAGGACACCCTGTCCCAATGAACGAGAGGGATTTCCCTCCGACCAACCCGCTTTGAGGAGGTCGACGTGCCCAACGGTTTTAACATGAGGTCGTGACCTTGGGGGCAAAATTTCCTCGGTGGCTCACGATCATGGGGGCAGAGCTTCTTCGCCGGCTCTTGTTTCACCACCTGCGACTGCTTCGCAGCGGGTTCTGTCTTCACCCCCAGGACATTTTGCAGCACATTCTCAAGTTTGACAGTAGCACGGGCCCGCTTTGCAGGTCGAACCAAGACAAGTTCCACATCGCTGCTGTCACTGTCGCAAGCTTCGGAAAGGGGTAAAGGAAAAGAGGCCTGATCAGAAGCTTGCTGAACATGCGCTAAAGGCTCTTCTGGAGCTGTCTCGGACGGGGACAAAACGTCAGATGGAGATTCAACCGAAAGGTCTTCTGGGGCTGCCTCGGGAGCCTCGGGCACAGGAGCCTCACCTGGCGGACTCGCAGGCGCGGGTGCTTCGCACACACTGAGGAAGTCCTCGAGCACCTCCTCCGGAATTGAATCCTTTAAAGACGTAGCATGATTTTCTTTCTCACGGTGTTGGTCCTGCCAAAACTTTATCTGATCAAGCAAATCCGCAAAGGGATCCACTTGGCGTGGTGAACAGCTTGCAGTCCACAAAAACTCTGACAGAAGACCGCCGTAGCTGTCTCGACTCACCTTCTTGGCGCCTTTGGCTCGCAAAAAGGCCTTCAAGCGGCCGAAAAGCCCTTCAGCTGCGTTCGTTGACACCACAACTTCCTTTCCAAAAATTGTTTCTGTTTTGGAAAACTCACGGCGTTTGTGATTCACGCAGCGATGCACAAAGCCAGAGTCTGGCTTCGACAACCAAGCATAACTCTTGAAGCTGTCTGTAAAAATCAAACTGCCAGCAACAACATGTCTTCGAATGAAAAGCTTCAAGGTGCGAGCACTCCTGTCCGGAATCTCCAAAAGAAGGCAATGCCCTGTGGCTCGTCGAGTTTCAAAGTCCAACTCGAGCATGCCAAGCACACACTTTTTGGTTCCAGCCGTTGGGCGGCCTCGGAAACCACCTTTGCAACGCTTCTTCTTCGTGAGAAACGTCTCGTCAATGCACACGATTTTGCCTTCGCCGCCGAGCTGAGCAGGATTCAAACGAGCGACACACAGCCACAAAATGCTTCTAACACGTGCTAAAAACCCAGCCCAGTTCTTCGAACTGACCTTTGCCTGCTTTCGAGCAGTTCTGTAGGGTGCGTCTGACGCGAACCAGTACAAAGAAGCAAGATATTGCGCAGGTGTGTAGTTGTTCGCTAGGTACTTTGGAAGCGTTCCTGGACGACGCCAGGTGAGCTTCTTGTTGCACAGCTTCTTCGCTGGAACCTCCTCGTCCTCATCCTCACTGTCGTAGTCTGGATTCGGAACGCGCACTGTGCAGTGCAAGTATGAGTTGCCCTTCTCGGAGTTGCTGTTGAAGGACTTCCACTCATGCCCTGCTGGGCAATGCAACGGCAAGACAAGCAAATTCCACCAAAGTAAGAACCACAACGCCTGGCGGCTAGAAGGCCACAACTTGTTTGACGCCTCATCCGCCGTCAGGAACTCGCCGTCCATGGCACGTGGAAGATGCTGGAAGTCTGGATGCGAAGCCCCCGAACTTTCAAAAAGACTTTGAGCCGAGTGACACGTATCAGTTCCCTCTGCAAGTCCAACAAGCTTTCAAGGGTCGCTTTCTTGACTGGATTCAACCAGGTTCCAGTGTTGTCCAGTTTCCAACCGAATCTTTGAGAAATTTCCATTCACAACAATATTAAATCTTGGTTTCCACCACGGTGCAGATCCAGAACTGTGGTCATTCCACATCTGAGTCATTCCAGCGATGGGGTGTTTCCATTTGTCGGAACAACACCCCAGGCATTTCTTGCCTCTTTGAGCTTCGCCCTGAGCGTCTCTCGTTCATTTTCTGATTTCATTGGCCCTTCTTCTCGGCTGCTGCTCGGCTCCATCGTCTTCGACTTCGACTTGCTCCAATAGCACCTCTGAGCCCCTTCAGTCGACAGTGCCTTAGGCCTTAGATGTTCTTCCCTGAGCCCTCCAGCTTCCCTCCTCCATCACCAACTCCTGCTTGCTGTCGGAACGGTGCCAGTTGCCTTTCTTTTTGGCAAATTCTTGCCTCTCTTTAAGCTTCTCTTGTTTTCTTTTGATTCCATTGACCCTCTTCTCGACTGCTGGCTCAACTCCATCGTCTTGCTGCTCGCCTTCTTGATAATTTCGCTGCCCCAAGAGCACCCTTTGAGCCCCTCGATCGCTCTCGCAGTTGCCAGAATGGTGACGGCTTGCTTTCTTTTCGCAACCCTTGTTTCCCAAAGCTGCTCTCTCTTTTTTCTGACTCCAACGGTCCTCTTCTCGACTGCTCGACTTCATCGTTGCAAAAACACTCAAAAACACAACCCAGATTCCACCCAATTTCACCCAGAGGGCTTAACCCAGTCTTACCGTGGAGAAACAAATTTTAACCCGCGTCTGTGGAGCAGGCGGAACAGAATTCGGCCTTGACCAAGTCAAGTGAAGGCACAGTTTGGGCACACACGGCACACAGATTTGAAAGACAGCGACAGAAACTTAACAACAGAATTTGAGGCACATAGCGACAGAAACTGATGGCGAAACTGGAGCACGACAGGAAACAACTTGAAAAGCAAGGTGTTCCAACACGCTTTCAAGGGTCGCTTTCTTGACTGGATTCAACCAGGTTCCAGTGTTGTCCAGTTTCCAACCGAATCTTTGAGAAATTTCCATTCACAACAATATTAAATCTTGGTTTCCACCACGGTGCAGATCCAGAACTGTGGTCATTCCACATCTGAGTCATTCCAGCGATGGGGTGTTTCCATTTGTCGGAACAACACCCCAGGCATTTCTTGCCTCTTTGAGCTTCGCCCTGAGCGTCTCTCGTTCATTTTCTGATTTCATTGGCCCTTCTTCTTGGCTGCTGCTCGGCTCCATCGTCTTCAACTTCGACTTGCTCCAATAGCACCTCTGAGCCCCTTCTTAGGCCTTAGATGTTCTTCCCTGAGCCCTCCAGCTTCCCTCCTCCATCACCAACTCCTGCTTGCTGTCGGAACGGTGCCAGTTGCCTTTCTTTTTGGAAAATTCTTGCCTCTCTTTTAGCTTCTCTTGTTTTCTTTTGATTCCATTGACCCTCTTCTCGACTTCGCTGCTCGCCTTCTTGATAATTTCGCTGCCCCAAGAGCACCCTTTGAGCCCCTCGATCGCTCTCGCAGTTGCCAGAATGGTGACGGCTTGCTTTCTTTTCGCAACCCTTGATTCCCTAAGCTGCTCTCTCTTTTTTCTGACTCCAACGGTCCTCTTCTCGACTGCTCGACTTCATCGTTGCAAAAACACTCAAAAACACAACCCAGATTCCACCCAATTTCACCCAGAGGGCTTAACCCAGTCTTACCGTGGAGAAACAAATTTTAACCCGCGTCTGTGAAGCAGGCGGAACAGAATTCGGCCTTGACCAAGTCAAGTGAAGGCACAGTTTGGGCACACACGGCACACAGATTTGAAAGACAGCGACAGAAACTTAACAACAGAATTTGAGGCACATAGCAACAGAAACTGATGGCGAAACTGAAGCACGACAGGAAACAACTTGAAAAAGCAAGGTGTTCCAACACGCTTTCAAGGGTCGCTTTCTTGACTGGATTCAACCAGGTTCCAGTGTTGTCCAGTTTCCAACCGAATCTTTTAAGAAATTTCCATTCACAACAATATTAAATCTTGGTTTCCACCACGGTGCAGATCCAGAACTGTGGTCATTCCACATCTAAGTCATTCCAGCGATGGGGTGTTTCCAGGCATTTCTTGCCTCTTTGAGCTTTGCCCTAAGCTTCCCTCCTCCATCACCAACTCCTGCTTGCTGTCGGAACGGTGCCAGTTGCCTTTCTTTTTGGCAAATTCTTGCCTCTCTTTAAGCTTCTCTTGTTTTCTTTTGATTCCATTGACCCTCTTCTCGACTGCTGGCTCAACTCCATCGTCTTGCTGCTCGCCTTCTTGATAATTTCGCTGCCCCAAGAGCACCCTTTGAGCCCCTCGATCGCTCTCGCAGTTGCCAGAATGGGACGGCTTGCTTTCTTTTCGCAACCCTTGTTTCCCTAAGCTGCTCTCTCTTTTTCTGCCTCCAACGGAGAAACAAATTTTAACCCGCGTCTGTGGAGCAGGCGGAAAAACAGAATTCGGCCTTGACCAAGGTCAAGTGAAGGCACAGTTTGGACACACACGGCACACAGATTTGAAAGACAGCGACAGATACTTGAACAACAGAATTTGAGGCACATAGACAGAAACTGATGGCGAAACTGGAGCACGACAGGAATACAACTTGAAAAGCAAGGTGTTCCAACACGCTTTCAAGGGTCGCTTTCTTGACTGGATTCAACCAGGTTCCAGTGTTGTCCAGTTTCCAACCGAATCTTTGAGAAATTTCCATTCACAACAATATTAAATCTTGGTTTCCACCACGGTGCAGATCCAGAACTGTGGTTATTCCACATTTGAGTCATTCCAGCGATGGAGTGTTTCCATTTGTCGGAACAACACCCCACAATCGGTCGTGACACCGCTCGAGAGCATCGAATCTTGTCGTGACCGGTTTGACACTCGACTGCCTTTGCTCTTGGAGAGAGCACCTTTGCTGACTGAGACAGTGCAGCTGAACACTGACGTGTTTGGCTCAAGTGCGAACGGAAAAAGCAGTCTGGGCTAAAGCTCTGCTTTTCACATGGTAGCGGAGCGTCCTGAAGAGACGTTCCAGGAAAAGCCATGGCCCAAGTTCTGGACGCGCCTACAGTGCCAGTTCCTGATGTGAGCCCTGAGGCCCTGAGGAAGAGGCTTTGCTGTTTGGTTTCAAGGACAACCGACAGCACCTGCTGGAGGAGCGAACCCTTTTGCGTCGCCTCCTCCGGCAACTCCAGCTCAAGCTCATGCTTCGCCTACTGAAAGCCAAGTGGGTGGAGTACAAGCTGGAAATGGCCTTGGTGAAGGCAACTTCAAGCCATCTTCTTGGAGATGCTAAGGCAGCAAAGTCAGGCCAACCAGCAGAACCAGCAGTTGATAGCTGCCCTTATGAGAAGAATGGATTTGGAAGAGAAGCGTCGAAATGAGCTGAAGAGAAGGCAGCGGAGACCGCACGTTTGGTTGCAGAGGCTGCAGCTAGAGCCAAGACGGAAGACCCGTTTGCAGCTGCACCGAGCACACGTTCTGTGCCTTTTGCAGGAGCTACCTCGTCTTCGAGCTCTGTTCGGAGCCCATTGGTGCAGAATAGGGCGGAGAAGTACCTTCCATCTCTGCCGATGCTAGAGCATCAAGGCATGAACAAGGGCAGGATGCGAGAAGTCGAGACATGGCATGCCTACCTGGAGACACTGTCATCGTGGCTTGCTCTTCAAGATGAGTCTTTCGTTCGAGAGTTGCAACTCTGCGTCAAGCAAAAGAATGAGATCCTTCAGAAGGATTTGGCGGATGATGTTGCTGCTCGAAGTGCGAAGCTTTACTACTATCTCACCCAATCTCTCTCACGTTGGGAAAGAGGTCAGGAGTTGCTACGCTCGTGCTCGAAAAGGCAGTCTCTCAGTGCCTGCGGATACGAGGCTGGAGGACCATCACGCAGCAATACAGCATCGTGTCTCGCATGGAAGCTGACTACGTGCGGGAGCAGTGCCTCAAGTTGGCGACTACGTGCCAGCATCACCGACGGCCGACAGACCTCATCCGTCACTTGGAGGACGAGTTTTCTCGTGCCGAATCCAAGCTTGAGAACTTTCCAGAGTTGCGTCTCACGGAGGCTGACCGCTGCAGTGTTTTGCTGCAAGCTCTGAGCCAGGAGCTCAGACAGTACGTCGTTCTTCATGGGAAGAGCAACGACTGGACATCGCCGAGCGATAGCCTTCGGTACTATGAGGAGCAGCTTCGTCTGTGTGAGGGTCCCTTTTCCTCAAATCGGCAGATGTCAGGAAAGGGTGACAAGCTTTGTGACCACTGTGGACGAAAGGGACACCTGGCTAAGGACTGCTGGAGCCGTCAGCGTGAAGCCGGTGAAAAGGGCAAGAAGGGCGACAAGGGCAAGAAGGGCGATGGCAAGGGAGCGCAGAATCCCAAAGGAAAGCCACGCTCTCCAACGCCGAAAGGCGGAAAAGGCGGCAAAGACAAGGAGCAGAAGCCCGACAAGCCTGATAAAGGCAAGGGCAAAGGCAAGAAGAAGAAGAAGGCTAGAGCCCGGGCTATGGGAGAACCAGAGTCCGAGGCAGAGTCCGAGTCTTCGAGGACCTCCACCGTGATGGCGATGAGGTTTGCCAAGCCTTCTGCTGTACGAGAAGTACTGAGCCAGCCTGAGCCTGAGAAGCCTAAGCCCGTAGAGGCAGTCCCTAGACCGGTCGCTGTAGGGCCGAAAGTCACTGTAGATGAGAAGGTAGGCACCCTGACTGGAAGCACCTCGAAGGGAGATGCGGCATACGTCTGCGCTTCGCTGCAGGTAGAGCATCGTGATGTGTGGCTGGTCGATAGTGGAGCCACATGCCACATCGTCTCAGCAGATCATCTGTCAGGATTTCGTGTCTGCAAGTACCATGATCGCACGGTGACGCTCTATAGTGCCTCAGGAGACATCATAAACGTATCGAATGTCGTTGATCTGGAAGTTCGTTTCGGCGACGTTTCGTTGACGTTGGAGGACGTCCTTGTGGCGGACGTGCCTTTCAATGTGGTATCTCCGTGGTCCGCGTCGGAACGGGGCTGGAAGACGCACCTTGCGCGCACCGGGTCTCGCATTTACAAGGGTGGAAAGAAGAATGTCCGCCTGGTTGGGGCGAAACGGGCCTGGTGGGCGATTAGCGGAAAGAAGCAGAAAGCTCCTAAACGCCCATCCAAGGGATCGGACATGGAGATCGACTCTCTTCCTGTTGACAAGGAACCCAGGAAAGACATTACTGCAGGACCAAGCATCCTGAAGAAGACTTCGAAAGAAGCGAAGAGTGATGAGAAGCCTGGAAAGGACGAGAAGTCTATCCGCCACGTCTTGACGGGAACGCCGTTTGAGTTCATGTTGCGCGGTTTGAGGGCTGAAGTTAGGAGTAGGTCCCTGGAAATTCCTGAAGAACACGCCGGTAGGAAACCGCACGACATGATCTGTACTAGGAAAACGCCTGTCCTGAGTGGTGATAGGAGCCTGTGTTCCGAAAGTCTGGTTAGGAAACTTCATGATTCTGTTAGGAAATGCCATGTTTTTGTCAGACAGCAACATGATTTTTGGCAGCGGCATGTGTGCGCAGTTTGGAACGTGATGTTTTTGCTGGCATGTCTTGTGAAGGGGTTGTGTTTGAAAGGCTTTTCGCTTCTGATCTTCGGCAGTGAAGGTTTGAGGTGTGCCCTTAAAGGAAGTGAGTGCCCCAAAGCAACCGAGCCAGGCATGTTTTGCGTTAGGAAGCCCAAAAGGACCTCAAAAGGCTTGAAGTGCGCATGTTTGTCCGCAGCCATTTTGCTTGTTTGCGTGTCTTGGTTTTCCCTGAGGGAAGGTACTGAGCATGTCGGAACCGCCAATGGAGGTGGAGCAAGATTCCCACAACTCTCCAGCGGAGAGTGCCGGGCAGGAGGTTGTGTTTTTGAATGCACCAGTAGAGCCTGCACCAGCAGAGGCGGCGCCAGTCGAGACTGCGGATGCAGAGGCTTCAGCTGCCCCCTTCAATGTTTTCTCGAGGCCTCCGAGTCAAGTTGCAGTACCTTCGCCTACGGTGGCTGCATCAGAGACAGGAGAGACAGAAGAGGAGGAAGCATGGGGAAAATGGAGGGCAAGCAAGGCCAGGCCTTCGCAGCCATCAGCCGAGCCGTCGCTGATAGTGAAGTGGAGAAGCATGCTGAGGGGACCGCGCTTCAGGTATTTCATGCAAGCGATACGACAACAGCGAGAAGATCTTATTGCATGTGGATACCCTGTGCCGGCAATTCCAGAGAACAACCTGGAACCTGCAGTTCCACTTATGTCTATCGGAGATGGGATCGTTTATCCTTCCCGCCAGGGGACCATCTTTGCGTCATTGACAGATGCTTTGATGACCGACGGCTACCTCCTCGAGGTTGGGCAGAAGCTCCTTGGGCGGATCCAACGTCCAGACCCAGATGTGGGGCCGTGCCTGGGAACGGGCTGGTCCAAGAGGCTTCGCGATCACGATCCCGATCCTCTGAATGCAACGCCCTACATCAGCGCGGAGGTTGCGTGGGCGCTGTGGCTGCCCGAGTTTCCGGAAGCCCCGGAGCAAGGAGGCATCCTTCCGGTGAAGAGAAAGAGGGATTTTTCCCAGCTCACCGACGAGTTGTTGGAAGAGCATACTACAAGGTTCGAACTCGCGGGTCAAGGCCGCACTCTTCACCAACGCGGCGTGCGTGCAAGGGACGCGCGTGCAGCTATCGAAGGGTATACTCCCGATCCAAGTCACCTACGCCACCAGAGTGGAGGGGACGTGGCTGCGCTGGGTTACATCAAGCGTATTCTCAAGGTCCTGACCGTTTACGAGGCCATGCCGGAAGCGGAACGCAACCTTTTGGCTGGAATGTATCCAGACGACGTCGAGCTTCAGCTCGAGTGGGTGCCAGGCTCAGCCATCAGGCATGGGTGGCGTGCGTTAATGGGGGCAATGGATCAGCGCACCCGGCGCTATATCGAGTTCGAAGCAGAGGTCCGAAAATGGGAGGACTTGCAGTCCGCTCGACCCAAGGTCAAGGCCAGAAGAACGGGTGCAGCTGCTTCCACAGATACTGGAGGTGGAATTGGAGCGATGAACGAAGGCTCGGAGACTGGAGCCATGAACGAAGGCTCGGAGACAGAGTCTGCAGAGTCATCCTCGGCAAGTTCGTCGGACGAATCGATTCCAATGGGGGAATACATGATGCAGAGCCGGACCAGAGTTTTGGCGCTCATCGAAGCGGAGAAAGCCTTGAAAGATGTGGGCTCCTCTGCGCCGCCCCCACCGTCTCCTATCATTATGGAGCCATCGCCGGTTGCGACGGACGGGTACAAGTTCGATCCAGCATCTCTAGGAGCCCCTCTGGGGGACACTGCAGCTCCATCAACACCGGTACCTCCTTCGCCTTCCGCAGTTTCATTGGCCCCTTTGGAGTCATTCAAGTTCTTGGATGTCCCACCTGTTGCTTCTTCTGGTCCCTCGGACCACAGTGTGGAGCCTATGGTGGTGGAAGAGGAGCGGGCCCCAGAAACTCCAGGACCCACGGCACCGGTTGGAGCTCCAATTTCCGCAACGGAGAGTGTGCCGGAGACCCCTCCTCCAGGGGAAATTCCAGGTCCCGGTTATGTCCCGAAGGCAGCTCCTGGGGAAATTCCAGGTGCTCTGTCGAAAGCCCAGGGGGCACCAGCGGGGGCTACACCGAAGGCCTGGTCTGTGGTTCCAACTTCCTCGCCTTTGACGGTTCCAGAAGCGCCAGTGGCTGTAGAGTCTTTGCCTGCAGTTCCAGAGCCAGCAACCGTGACAGCGGAGGAAGGGCCTACCTCCGAGACCGCTACATCATCCGCAGCGGGTGCCCTTCCGCCTCCGGGCGGCTTGGGTCAAACAGCCGAAGAGAGGGAGTTTGTGCTTCCTTCCCCTTGCCAGAAGAAGTGAAGGCCTTAAAGGCTGTGCGGAATTCTTCCTTTTGTGGAATTGTTTCTGAACGCGCCGATCGCATGTCTTGCGCGTTGGAAAAACACAGTGTCTTTCAGGCTTGTTTGGACTTGGAAAGAAGCATGAGTGAAGCAGTTGAACAGACATGTTGCTGTGTGAGACTTGCTTGGTTAGGAGTGTGCGAGCTTGAAGGTCCCTTGAAGAGAAGCCCAAAAGAACTTCGATCTTCTCGGCAGTACCCTCAAAGATCCGAAATACCCTCAAGTCCGCGTTTAACTAGCCCGAAAGAACGTCGATCTTCTAAGCAGTACCCTCAAAGATCCGAAATACCCTCAAGTGTGAACCTCAGAAACGCCACGAACCCAAACCTCCTGAACATGAGTCATGACAGACCCCTGCCGGCCAGGAGTGCTTTGTTTTGCATGCCAGGAGAAGCATTGGATGTTTTCGCTTGCTTGGCGATCTATGTGATAGCAAGTCTCTTGGGGGGTTCGTTCTGGTTAGGGTTTCGATTCTTGAAGATGTGTTTGAAAAGGTTTCGAGGAGTTGGTGACTACCCTCAACTTGTATCCCGAAAGTACCGTTTACACCATCGTCGTAAAGGAGTCCGAGTGCGAATCAAGACTCGTTTCTGTTATGTTCGAGTTGATGTAGAACGTACTCTGGTCTTTAGCAGGCACGTTGTGAAACCAACTTGGAGCTCAGGTTTTAAAGCCTCTTTGAAGTTCGCATGTAAGGGCCATGTGCTTGGGCCTTTGTCTCGACAGGAACTTGTGGAGCTTGTTGGTGTGCATGGCATGGTGTTGTGCTTGGAGTGTGTGTGGTTGTTGTTTGTTGAGAAGAAAGGGCGATGATGAAAAAGGGAGCAGATCCACTTCTGAGCACAGCCACTTGAGAGTTGTGCGTGGACTGCCCCTCCCCGGTAAGGGGACGCAAGCTGAGCCCTTAGAACTCGATAGTGACATACCACGTTCTTCAGAGAGAGAAGAGAGAGGAGAAAAAGAGAGTCCGCTTCCGAAGCCTCAAGGTGCTGAACCACCTAAACCCCCGGAACCGCCTGGAGGTGCAGAAGTTTCAGATAGGATACCTCTGCGAAGTGTGGCTTTGCAAGTGCATAGATCCAGAGGTCATTTTCCTTATGATGTGAACTGTGAGGCCTGCACCTCGAGTAAAGGGAAGGTTCCTGCGAGACGCTTGCGAAGGCGTTTGCAACGCGAGGACCAGACGATAGGAATGGATTTCTACTACTTCGGTCGTCTTCGTGTGCTGCTTCTTGCACATTGCTCTTCGAACTATACCACGGTCATCCCGGCCATGAATTTGGATGATCCGGATCTGTTTTACAACATTGGACGAGTGATTCGCGAAATGGGTCTTGTGAATAAAATGGTCACAGTGAGATGTGATCAGGAGTCGGCTTTGATGTCTTTAGCCGAAAAATTGACTACCCGTACAGGTGATGTAGCTGTTTCTGGCGTCATTGTGGACGTCGTGCCCGGGTATCGCCCTCAGTCAAAAGGCGCTATTGAAAGACAAGTAGAAACTATGAAGCAGGGATTTTGGGCAGTGTGGTTAGACTTGGAGAGAGAAGTTGCGCGGAATTCCGCGCCGGAAGACTGGAACAAGAAGCTTCCGCTGGGAGGAATGCTCTGGCAAGCTTGTGTCCTTTACAGTGCCAGGTGCTACAACCTCTGGAGCTTTAGTCACCAGGACGTGACTACGCCCATTGACCGGCTGCACGAGGAGATTGTGCATCGTACGAGGACCCTGCCGTTTGGATGTCTTGTCTACGCTAAAGTAGGGGGCTCAAAAGCGCATCAACAGAAGTACAGGGGAAAGAAAACAGTGAAAGCTGTGTATCTAGGGCCTAAAGAGCCTAGAGGGGGCGGTGTCTTTGCTGCTCCAGTGGGTCAGACTGAGATCGATATCTTTCCTGTCTGTAGGGCCTTAGAAGGAGCGAAAGGTGAGCCTGTCTACGACGTAGGGGCCATACACGCTCTGTCTACTTCACAGCCTCTGGTTCTAGACCCAGCGGATCCTGAAAGGCCCATCATGTTTGAGCCACCACCTGATCCGGTGAAGTCAGAAGACCCTGACCCGGGGTTTGAAAACGAAGATGAAGAGATGGTACCAGATGATCCTGATCCTCTGAATGATATTCCGTCTTACGTGGAACCCACAGATGATGAGGGGGAAGGCGGACTTGGGTCACCGGAAATGCAGCCGGATGACCTAGAGGACATGGAAATTGACTGGCTAACTAACCATCTGTTAGAGTCTTTGTTCAAAGGACCGGACATTCTGGCCACGTCTAAAGAAGTAGCTGATTCGTTTACTCTCAAATTCGGAGGGAGTAAGATCAAGTGCCAAGTACCCCGAAACGCCGTTTCTGAGACCTCAGGTGAACAGTTAGACCCTGAACTTCTGTATGCTTCGATGAAGTTGGAGCTTGAGGAACTCGAGTCTTTTGGAGTAGGAAAAGTGATCTCTGAAGCTGAGGCCCGCAAGTCGGCGCGAGAGAGCGGTCGGAGGGTTCTCACGAGCAGGTGGGTTAACACGATCAAACGTAAAGGTCTTTACCGTTCCCGCCTCGTTGTTAGAGATTACGCTTCAATGGGAGGCACGACGCTTTCAGAAGGCATCTACAGCCCGACTACGAGTTTAGAGGGTTTAAGGCTTCTTTTGGCATTGCTTTGCAAGAAAGGCTCAGTGTTGAGCTGTGACGTGAGCGTGGCTTTCATGCACGCTGCAGTGTCAAGGCCAGAGTACGTAGAGCTCCCAAACAATGTGAGTATTGCGGACTCTTCTGTTCCCCAAAAGGCAGGAAACAAGAAGGTGTATCTTCGTCTTCATAAAGCGATGAACGGATTGAGATCGGCACCGCTTTCTTGGTATAAGGAACTGAGTTCGTACTTGGAGAAGAGCGGATTCAGTCCAAGCCTGGACCCTACGATATACCGAAGGAAGACGTCGAAGGGTCTGACGTTGGTACTGTTCTATGTAGACGATTTGCTGATCTACTCCGAGGACCCATCGGAAGGTAAGAGAGTTTTCGAAGGACTGCAGAAACGCTACAAGCTGAAACTGACTGGAGAGCTTCCTGAGAATGGTGCGGGGGAAGTTTCCTTCTTGGGTAGGAGAATATTCCGACGTTCCGGAGACAAGCGCGTCTATTTCGGGCTAGATAGCAAGTACCTAGACGCGTGCTGCTCTGAGTACAATATAACCAAACCGAGCCCCAAACTCCCGTCGCTTGAAAAGCGATACTCCGACCTGGTTCGAAAAGGGCAAACTGAAAAGATTAGCCCGGCCGCACGCGAAAAGTATCGGAGAACCCTTGGTCGGCTTGCATGGGCAGCCCTCTCCCGACCGGACCTGCAATTCTGTTGCGGGTTTTTGGGCCGGCACCAGGCGGCGCCAGACGAGGCTGCTGAAACATGCATGAGAGACGTCCTTAAGTGGATAAAAGGGCTTCCGCACCGAGTACAGGTGTTTCCATCAACTCGGGAGATCCTGGAAGATGATGCGGATCCTCAGGCGGTTTCCTGTTTTACAGACGCAAGCTGGAGTTTGAATTCGGTTAGTGGTGGTGTGATTACTTGGGAAAACTGCTGTCTGAAGACTTTTAGCAGAAAGCAATCAACCACAGCCCTGTCCAGCGCTGAGAGTGAGCTCGCGGCGCTCACGGAGATAGCCAGGGAAGGTCTCTACATTGCCCTCTTGACAGAGACCATCTTGGAAGGCATTCCGCAGGACAGGGAGACCGGTTACTATCTCTTGAAGGGTTACTCTGACTCTGAAAGCGCAGTTTGTATCTCAAAAATGGGAACATTGCTGAGGAAAGTTCGCCATATAGAGTTAAGAGCCGCATTTCTCCAGGAACTTGTGGATCGTGGAAGGTTCGCGATTGAGCACATACCGGGGGCCATCAACCCCGCAGATGCTCTAACGAAAAGTCCCACGAATGACAGTTTGGCAAGCTTGTGTGAGGCTTGTGGCTTGACCACCGAGCCGGTTGGCTGGGAAGAAAAAGCTTCAGGCACTAGCGTTTCGGTTACCTTTAAAGAGCCCAATACCTGCGACGAAGTGCTCGCAATTCCGAGCTCGTGGAAGGACGAGGCCTACAGAGTTGCTTCTGGGGAGGCCACCATGGTTGTCTTGGAACTCTGTTGCGAAGAGGAAAGCGCGATAGCCCAAGCTTGTAAGCGGGAACGTGACATCGCGTACTTTGGAATCACCAAGAAGCTAGACTTGCTGAGTAGAGAGGCTTCTTTGTTGCTAAAAGGGATTTTGGAAAAGATGGCTTCTAACGAAAGAATCTACGTGTATGCACATTTGTCTACGCCGTGCAGCGCAGGTAGTGGCCTTAGGCACCTGCGTTTCTCAAAGGACGTGAAGAACCGGGCGAGATGGAGAGCTAGTCTGGAGGTACACAAAAAGTCCTGGAGACGCATACGAGCAGTTTTCCAGGACTATGCTGGCCACGAGAGGCTCCTCCTCTCCCACGAATGGCCTAAAGGGTCTGGCCTTTGGGGAGAAACAGTCTACAAGTCAACAGCGAAAAGACTGGGACTCGAGCACGAGTGTTTGGTAGACCGGTGTTGTTTCGAGGAAGCTGGCAACCGTATCCTGAAGCATTGGTGGTTCGTCAGTTCGGATTCAAGTTTTATCTGGACTTTATCCTCTTGTGTTTGCCCAGGAAACCACGAGCATGCGAGTGCTACTAGCATAGCAGCGACAGGTGTCTATCCGCAGGGCTTAGGCCGATTCCTGGTGAAAGAAGCCAGGAAAAGTCTCGAAAGACGAAAGAAGGACTGACCGCGCAATAGGCATGAGGGGGTGTGAAAATATGACATTTCTTTGTTTGCCTAGTTGCTTGCAGGTACATGTGTAGGACATGAGTGCTGTGACATGGCAAGAACATGTTTTGTTTTGGCATGAGCATGTTTGCATGACATGAAGGTGCTTTGACTTGACATGTTTTGGTTTGCAAGTCCGAG